GCCATCATCGCCGTCATCTGGCTGCTGGCGGCCGTCATCTCGCTGCCGCACGCCGTCTACAACGAGGTGGTGACCGTGTTCACGTTCCGCGCGCTCTCGCGCTGCCAGACGCGCTACCCGCGTCCGTCGCGCGACTTCCGCAAGTGGCTGACGCTGCTGACCAGCCTGACGCAGTACTACGTGCCGCTGACCATCACTGGCGTGGCCTACTCCATCATCACGCGCAAGGTGTGGAGCCGCGTGGTGCTCGGAGCCGCCACCGAGGAGCAGATGGTCTACCAGGCGCGCGCCAAGCGCAAGACCATCAAGATGCTGATGGTGGTCGTGGTTCTCTTCGCTATCTGCTGGATGCCGCTCAATCTCTACCATCTGATCGTCGATTTCAGCCAGAGCACCAGTCCGACGCGGCACAACTCGACGCTGTTCTTCTTCTGCCACTGGCTGGCGATGTCCAACGTCTGCTACAACCCGTTCATCTACTGCTGGCTCAACGAACACTTCCGCGCCGGCGCGCTCTCCTGGTTCAAGTGCCTGGCGCGCCGATCATCCAAGGTGCATCCAGCCATTGAAATCAACGGCATCCTGGTGCAGACGTCACGGCGGCGCGGCGGCGACTCGACGCCCAACACCATGTCGAGCAGCCTGCGCGCCGACTCTGTGCGCCGCCAGGCGCCCGGTCGGCAGCACGAGGTCACACTCAACGGCTACGTGGAGATCCGCAGCCGGCGCGTGCTGGCCTCGCTGCTGGCGTCGGGCCGCGTGTCCACCGAGCCGGAGCCGCTGGCCGCCGCGCCAGACTCCCCGGGAGAGCCGCGCGAGAGCGGCTTCCCACTGCTGCCGCGCCTCTGCGAGCAGGGCAAGGCAGACGCGTACGACGTCATCTGCCGCAACATCGAGATCGTCTACCGCAAGAAGGAAGGAAACGGGACGGTGCGCGGCGGCCGGACCGAGCCGATTCCCTCCACAGACCAGTTCAACGTCAGTATATTCGCCGGCGGCGAGACGCCCGCCGCTGCGACTGGCGGCGCCGACAGGGAGCCGGAGGACAGTGACATGGTGCAGCCGGTCTCGGAGCGGGTGTACCGCGGCCAGCTGACGGGCCTGCTCCGGAAACAGGTGCTCAACGGGGACGGCGGCGGAGGCAGCAGCGGCGGGCGCAGGCTCCGCGAGACCAGCTTCGCGCTGGGCGACCCCGGCCGGACGCGGAGGTCGCCCAGCCGGCGAAACTCATCCACCCGCTCCCGACGATCGGTCTGAGCTGAGTGTCACCTGACCCGTACCGAAACCTGGCCCTTGGTGGCCTGCCGCTCTCAGCGCCGCCCTGAAGAGGCTCGTGCCGCAGGCTCAAAGCGGTGAGTCCCGGGAAGCTGCAGCTGAATAACTCAAGAGGCGGCTGCGCACGTGGCGGTGTCGGTTACTATGTAGTGACGTCAGTGCAGTGCAGAGCCGGTCGATCTGAGAGGACGAACGGTAGCCTCAGATTGACGACCCAGTCGGTCACATGGTGTGTGTTCTGGAGGCCCCTGAAAGTGACGAGCAATCGCGAACAGTCAGTTTAGTGGGTCGAGTCAGTGCAGAGACTCTAAACATCTCCATCGTGCCGCCGTCTGTGACACTAGAGCCCGTCAGGAGGCCACCCGTGTGACAGGTCGGTGGCAGAGCTCCTCCTCCCTCCGCACATTCCACGGTGACATGACACCGCGGGGCGGGAGTGGCGTGACCTCTCATCAGACTCATTTGCCGCGTCAGTCGGCCTGCCCTTCTGTCATCGCCAGCGACTCGCAATGTGGTTCCGATATGTGTGTTGTATGTAAACATGTCCCCAGCGATCAAATAATGCTCACAGTTTCGTGTAAATGAGGAATCGGGAAAATACGAGCGTGCTCAGCCAGGCTTCGCGATTAAATGGCGTGCTGAATAGGTACAGTGTGCCAAGAAACCAAGTTCGCTGTCATCTTTCCAGATTTATGTGCTTTAAGAGACAACTGATTAACAAGCGCAATTGATAAGCATATGGAGATCGTTAAGCCTCTTCAAGTATGACCTGAGTGTTGCATCACATCTGTTTAGTGCTGATTTAAAGCGCAGCATGGTATATACAGTTTTAATAATTATTTGTTCATGTTTATCCTATACCTAATGCACATATAAATCCAATCTGAGCTCAGTCCGGTGTGCTCCTTTGCTGAATCAAAATTTGTGAATTCCTGTCGAACACCTGAGCTGGTTCAGTTAACTTTCTTATATCCGGTCTGCGTGACTTGCCTAGCATGTAGATATTCAGCCGCTAACTGTCTGATGGTCACTGTCACCGATTTGTTAAGCCGTTTTTAGTCGCTACTTTGCCCACGCTTGGTGTGCGATTGTCAAGTCGCAGCATTCCGTATTTCTGATGCGATATGTGTATATTGTAGTTAAGGGTGCTTTACATTGTGTATTTGTTGTTTTTTTCTTAGACAGCAGGTATGTGCTGCCGTCTGTTGATTGTTATTTGGTTAACGTCGGCAGTATGTTGCGATATTGTGTTTCAGGCGTTGGCTGTGCAGCAGATACACACGTTTTTCAGATTGTAAATAGTTTACTTGTTGTGAACATATTCGTTGTCATAAAATGAGGAATTTACCTACTTGCCCTGTGTATAAGTGTTTGCATATGTCAGCGAGTTTGTGCTACGAATATGGAATAGGCAGCAAAACTTCGACAAAGTTCTATTGCTTTGGAGTGGCCACACATGTGCTTCGAGGAATGTATTACTTGCTTTGTCACCTCTTCATCGACGTTGTATATTTAGGCCAGTGTTTTAAAATATTTTCATTACCAAATACGCATGCATAGCAGCTCCAATGTAATTTAATTCTTTTAAGTATCACCCATGTGTACGTTTCAGGTAAGAGTGAGAGAGAAAAGAGAGGGATCTGGGATAGAAAAGTGAAAGAGAAATAGAGAAAGAAAGAGAGAGAGGGAGAAAATGGGAGAGAGAGAGAGAGAGAGAGAGAGAGAGAGAGAGAGAGAGAGAGAGAGAGAGAGAGAGAGAGAGAGAGAGAGAGAGAGAGAGAGAGAGAGAGAGAGAGAGAGAGAGAGAGAGAGAGAGAGATGTGAAAATGAGGTCAATCCCAAAATGGACGTTAGAAACATCGACCATTTTTTCTGTTTTTAAACAAGCACAATTCTTTGCATCTTGTGTGCCAGGCTGGTCCAAACTTGCTCTTCAAATTCACACCATTATGGCTCATCAAAGGCAAGAGGGCGTCAGCACAGAGCGATCGGAAATGATGCCCTTCCCACGGATCTGAGCCTTTGCAATGACTTGTTTTGCATTCATTTTCGACATTCTGTGATAGGGCCGTGCATGCGAGACGCAAAGGACTACGTTCGGAGTTTATGTGTAGGTACGTCATTAGACGTGCGATGTTTTTTAGACGGTGTAACAATGCTGCATTGAAACGCTAGATGCGTATTTTGTAAATAAGGTGTTTCGTAAATTGTGCGTTCACAAACTTTCGGTGACAAACTTTTCTAGTCACTCTTATTTCACATTTTTGTAAAGCATTGTCGCCTAAGTATTCGTAAAGAAAGCACGTTGTTTAGTTTGAGGGGATTTGATGGGAGGGGGGGGGGGGTCTCATTTAGTTGGTTCAGTGTCCCACATTGTTTTTGGCTGTACCTATTCGGTCATTTTATTAATTTAGTAGATACCGCGCTACATTTTCATTTTTCTCTTATATCCTTGTACAGCTTTAATTGAAATGTGCATTGTGCATTGTCCCAGATAACATTGCACATTTTATCCGTGCACTAGTGCTACCATTTCCTATCTCTTCAGTCTGTCATTAAAACAAAATATGCATAATTATGAACGATGTGTCTGGTGTCACGAAAAGTATTTCATGTGGCGTTTTAATTGGCTGATATGTCTTAAAAGTGAGACTGATAGGGTGATATGCTTGTAAGAGATTCAAACATGTTGAAAGTATTGCCTATGAACAAAAATACATGTCTAGCTTTACCATGTCGTTTCTTTAATATGTTAAAAGTGCATTCAACACATTTAAACAGCACCAGCTGGCAAGTATGGTCGGGGCTTTCACTAAAACGTGCCGGTTGCGCTGCCCGCGGTGTCTAAAATCCAATATCGCATCTGTCTTAGCGTAATGCTTAAAGGCGTGTGGCCGCCCATATGACACTGGTCGGTGGGCCCTATGACGCCGGTATTGGAAATAGTCCGGTAATTGGTCTGTGATGACGTCACCGGTCACGGTCATGTCACGGTCACCGGTCTGTGCCGGTCTCACTGGGGTCAGAGCTCACACCCGACAGCAGACAGTCGTCTCATCTCCGGACTCCGAGTCGGCGCCACCCGCCGTCAGAAACGAGCCGGGGCCACCGGACCAATCCGATATCGGTCCCCACTCCGCCGCGAGCTCGGCACGGCTGAGAGAAATGGCCCCGGCAAGTTTGACGATTTATGTTTATTACGCCTTGCTCGGTCCTAGTAACACGGAACTTTTCACTCGTACTGCACCGAGCGGTTGGAGACAGGGTCTGTTTCAGACGACGTCTTACTCCAGCTGCGGCGGACGCCCCCTAGTTACCACTCTGGACGTTTACGGGAAACTTTGAGAGGCATCTGTGCGCTTCCACGTTGCGAACCTTTTGAACCTTTCGCAAGAGTGGTGAGCAGAATGACAACGAAGTGGCTGGCCACATCAGACACGTTAGCGTGACGTCAAACTTTGTGCTTGATCTAAAAACACAACCAGGACCCGAAGAGCAGCAACAACTGGCAAATACGTCCGACAAAGGGAGCTTGATTCATTTGAAACCTTAATCGCGTGTATAACTCATCAAATACAATTTCTACATTTCGATTATTGATTATTAACCAACTCATTCCGTCAGCTGCACGCACCCGCACCTCAGTCATTCTAGCCTTTGGGGAAAGTGCAAAGGCTCGCCCTACTCTCCCACTGCAGTGCCAGCAACCTCCCCAGACTACTCCACACGGCTTACTTAAATTCTTTATTTTAAAGTTCTCAGGGTCAGTTTGCTGAGATATCGTCCGGAAAATTACCCCAGCAATGACGGGCGTACGACACTGACGACTCGCTCGACAAAGGATGACAGCCAGGACCATACGACCATGAAGGGATTAAACTGAACACGGAAACCAACGATCCGTTTAAGGGAAACCTGCGAACATAACATATTAACATAACATAGACTCACGGTCCATGGGGTCACAGACACTTTCTTACGTAGTTTTAAGAAACGTTGACACAAGCTTGCATGCAAGTATATGCATGCTCACATGCAAGTGCAATATGCATGCTTACACTGTACGCACATTGCACACATACGCCTATCCATACATGACAAATATGTATATCCGTCACAAACAGCACCCATACATAATGCCCAGTGTCCATCACTCAAAAGTTAACAATGCTTCAAAGACAAGCGCAGCGAAACTTAAGTGCTGAACAAGACAAATGTTAAACTGGTTAGGATAGCATTCATGACAAACTCATCAAAGCCAAAGAGCACAAGCTCCATTGTGCGCCAAAATATGGTCAATTCAAATAGATCTTTATTCAAACATGTGATGTCTTGCATTTTTTTTTTTGCTACGAATATCAAAACAATAAGAAAAATGGCGGCGCTGTCGTGACGCGGAGTTTGGCACACTTACGTTTGCATATTTTTGCAAACGTAAAAAGAAATTTTTTAACGATTTTATTGTTACAGGGTGCATGAAACTAATAACCTTTTAATGTATATAGCCTAATGTCAGGTCAATTTTAAACCTCTATAGAAGAAGTAAATGGTAGAAATGCAAAGTCGCTTTTTCATATAAGCTTCAAATCCTCGAACTCCATTTAAGGCTAATGTCAATCTTGAATCGTGAATTGGAAAACTATATACACTCGTGACCTAACCTAAAAAGCATTTGGTCATGTTCGGCGATTAAGCGTCGGCTACGCTACGACAGAACCTTTTGCACATTGGGCGAATTCCTTGTAACAAAACGGTTTGACTAATATGCAGCATGATCTTTTCCAGTCAAATCATGACCCTCGCTTTTGGTCAAATTTTCATGTTGACCTTTAAGGTCAAATCAGCATTCATTTCGCGCGTCTCAATGAGAAAAAAGACGTAGGCGATGGAAATAAGAGCCAATGTCGCGAAAAGTTTCATGTGAAAATCTACATATTTGTCGAACAAAACGCTTATTATGTCAACAGTCAAAACAATCGATACGACCAGGGGGTTACGGTTCTATGCTGCCACATAGGGAGGGCTCAGGAGACAGATGACGTCATGGGGTGTCAAGGTTTTGTCGATTTTTAAGACTTTGCTGTGCTGTAAATTTTCTTGTTTAGGCTCTAAGGGAGCCTAAAGGTTAATGTCAAACTGCCTTAGAGGATACAATCCTCGAAGATAAATATTAGCGAAGATTGGTAGATACCCGCTGACGTCATCTGTCAAGGTCACCGATGTAAACAAACGGCTAACCGTTCTACCTCCTATATACGGCCTTGGATACGACTATGTGTCATTTCTTCTACTTTCATACAACAGGGAATAGTTGTCATGGGCACTGTCGCTTTGGTCCCTCAAAAAGATAACTGAAAATAAATATACCTCTTTGAGTACAAGAAGTCAAATCACTGCCTAGATACTACACATATACATATAATAAACATCTGCACACATTATTGTCCAGGTAAATATATCGATGACTGCTCACAGTTTGATAGAACATTCAGGCATGTCATTGGCTCGCGCCATAAAACACTATTTATCCCATTGTCAGACGCCCAACGCCCGCCTTAATCACAACAGCTCTTATGTCAACAAACTAAGCACCCCTCCCCTACCCGGTCCGCAGTGTGGAGTGAGCACCTTTTGACGCTACACAGCGCACGGCACTCAGCAGAAGGCGCAGACGAACAGCGAGCAGAGTGCAGCCACGATGAACACGGCTACGATCCAGCCGCGCGAATGGCAGCTCGACCTGACCGCGTAGTGTTCGCTCCAGACCGCCTCGCTGGCGTTCTTACCGACCGGGTACTCGAGCACCACGCTGTCGCCCGACCAGAAACTCAGCGGTACCGTGCACGAGGTGCTGTTGAAGCACAGCCGGTCCGCCGTACGCACGTCGTACACCGTCTTCTCCAGCATCACGTCGAAGAAGACGTCGACGGGCAGCATCTCGTTCTCGCTGGAGAAGACCAGGTAGTAGTAGTCGTCGCCGATAACCTGCACGGTCAGCTGGTCGGAGGCCGAGTCGCCGCCTCCCGAGCAGACCGCCGACGCGCGCAGCGGCTGGTTGACGATGACCCCTTCGCAGCTGAGCAGCGCCTCCTCGCTGCTGGAGAAGGACGACACCATCTCGCTGTGCGAGGTCTCCTTCTGCGGCATCGTCTGGTTGACGCGTCCCCGGTGGCCGTTGTAGGTGAGCGGGATGAGCCGGCCCGCCATGGGAGACTCAGTAGTGCCTTCCTCGGGCTCCGGCGCCACCGTCGACGTCTGATTAATGACAATCGCCTGTCGTCGTCTCCTCCTCCTCCTGGTCGACTCCTGGATTTTGCGCTCAATGACGGCGTTCGTGAGAGGTGTGTAGAACTCCTTCGCTGCCACCGGCCGGTTGCCTTCTCTGGGGTTCTGCTGCGCGGGCCCCACAGACGAGTACGGGGACGGCGCCGTACTGTCGTGGCCGTGAGCGGAGGGAGCAGTCTCGTTCTCCTCTTCGTCGTCATCTCGCAGCTTCTCCTCAATCTCCTCGATCTCCTCGTCCCTCTGGACCAGCTGTGTTTCGGCGTAAGACGTTTTCACCGGGTTGGGTGTCCCGCTCTGAGACCTCTCTGGCGCCCTCCAGCCGCCCCTTTCCGGCTGCTCCAGCACTATTCCCGAGGGTCTCCCGGTCGGCGCCCTCTCTGTTATGGAGGGTGATCTCCAGCCCGAGTCTCCCGCCTGGTGCGCCGCCACTGGTGCAGAGGAGGTCCTCGCACCATGCACCCTCTCCGGTGCTGAGGACACCATCCTCACAGACTCGCCAGCCTGTTCCGGGGTTACTGTCGGAGAACTGGAGCCCTGTGTCCTCTCGGATGTTTCTGACGTCCTCCAAACAACTCTCCCAGCGTGTTCCGCCGTCGGCTCTTCTGGGAGAGTCGGCATCAGACGAGCTTCTTGGGCGCGAGTCGCCGTGGTCGGCGTTACCTCCAGGGTGTTCTCGGTCCTGCGCGGTGCCTGCGGCGGCCGGACGGACACCCCCGGGGCCCCGCGGCCCGGCGGCCGGTGGTGTTTGAGGAACTCTCGCCACTGGCGGCGCACCGGGTCCAGTTCGGCCTCGTCCATGTCGTCGTCCTCCTGCTCGTCCTCCTCACTGCTTTCCTCCTCCACGGAGTCGAGCTGACCCACCCAGACGCACTCGTTGAGCGCGCGCCAGCCGTGCACTACGAGCAGACTGGTGCCCGGCCACCTGGCGAGCAGAAAGGCAACTACGTCACTACAGGCTACCAGCAGAGGGCGCAGCCAGAACTACGTCCCACACTACCTTAGGGAGGAACTAGCAACACTAGGGCAACTACTAAACAAAACAGAGGCAAGCCGCACTACATCAGATGAAAACTACGCCACGCTGAAATACCCAGTGAACAAATCTTTTTTATAGAATAAGCTTGAATGTTTGAATGCACGGATTGACAGAGCCCAAGCGCACACTAAGTAGAGCTTGTTGCGTAGGCCTCGACCCCCGCCATCCGATCGGACAAAGCCGGGTAACGGGAGAATTTACAAGTCAATGTGAAGCGTGCACATCAAAGCTAACCGCGGTCTGCTATCCTCAACCGAACTTAATTGGCCGCAGGTCCTCCCACCAACTGCAGACCATCCCGTCAGGAGTCTCACTCTCAATATTCCGAGCGCCGGAACGACTCGAACCCGGGCTTTCCCCACCGTTAGTCCAATGCTCTAGTACCAACTGAGGTACGGGTCAGGCATGTAACCTGGTTACCAAAGATGCCTTCATGTCAATGCAGCCATAGTTTCGTAAACCGTCAGACAGGGCATGTGGTAGACTGGAAGAGCTATCCGCCAAACGATTTACGAGAAATTCTCATTTGACGTAGCGACAACGAAAGAACTACATCAGAGAAAGCCATCTGGCGTACGAAGTAGGACAGTTCTGAGAGACATCAAGCTACTATTAGTGTCAGGCAGCTTACTAAGTGAAAGGCAGGAGCGCGGCAATGTCGAGTAGCAGAGTTGTGTGTATAGCACGGGCTGCAAGCAGAGCACATGGTTGACGATTGGATAACAGCGGTTTTGATCCATCATGACCACAGCGCAATGCGCGGCGGTGTGAGTCGTCAAGACCCAGTGAACTGAAAAAAAACATCCTCGAATCTGCGTTTGGTAGCAGCCTGTAAAACGACGCCAGTCGCCACCTCATTTTGAAATTAAAATTCAAAGATACACCGTTCCGTGCTTCTATCCTCAGGATACAGAAATCCTTCTCCTCCACGCCGCAACCCCCTCCGGGCTGGACAGGCAACTTTATCTCATGCGGGCTGCTCCCTTGGAGCGGCACCGCTGCTCCCGAGGGAGCGCACCCCGTAGCCGGGTGCAGTGAGTGCCTTGGGGCTGGGTGGCCTGTCCTCTGGACGGGCTCAGCCCCGGCGACTCACTAGGGTGCCTGCCCAGACCAATGTCTCTCCCTATATCCTATCATCCTCCCGGCTCTGAAATGGTCTCATTGGACCGAAAGGGCCTAACCCAACAAAACAAACAAACAAACAAATTCAAAGATAGGATACGTTTCCTTTTAACTACTAAACAGCGACATTGTATTCATTTAATTTACAGGAGTGTGATCAATACAAAACGAGTTATTCCAGGACAGTTGCGAACACCACCACTGTGGCTGTACATTAATAACACAGATGTGGACACCAGCCGGTCCAGCCCTCATCAACTCATCATGAGCTCGACATTATTTCGTGGACATATTGATACGGAATACACTACGCAGTGCACGTAACTTACATGCATTGCAAGCGTGCATGATCAATATTCGTGCCAGCATCGTTACTTTTAGCACGTTCGCGCAGACATTACAGTAATTTGCAGCCGTATTGCATTGTCTCTTCATGATGTCAGTCTGCTCCTACAATATAATGCATGGAACGAATTCCATCGACTGGAGCTGCAAACGGCTAAATTCCACCGTCATATGGCATAGCTGCAGCACCGGTCAGATTTGTACGAGCTCGGTGAAACGGGTTCCATTCCTGTATTGCCGTTCTCAAGCCATCCTAGCCGATACTGATCCAGCAATAGTATTGTCAGTGGGTCACTACATTGTCCGTGGACTGCAGACAGTCATATCAGCTGCATCCCGAGTCTGACATATCGCACAGCGAGATAATTCCGAAATGTATCCCGTGGTTGAAACGACTGATTCTAAATCGAAGGGGATATCACGGTTGGTAATAGCGATTGCATATCATATGAGCTTAGAAAACCGTATGTGACAGGGGCACTTCTCCATATGTGAGAAGTGAACGTTGAAATAGGTGTTGCGTGTTTTAAATTGTTCTTTCCTAATGGATAAAAAATCCAAACATATCAGCCAGCCTCCATCATATATGTGTAAATGCCTCAGTGTGATAAGAATAAGATATTTCAGTAACCGTTTAGACTGAACATGAATCTTTCACAGGCATTAGCGGACATGTCTGATGCACCACATCATATCAAAGTTAACATTTGATGATCACGTGTACATGTTTTTGTAAAAGTCCATGGTTCATCATGAATCATGATCAACTTTCTAAGTCGTCATGAAAGATTTACCCCACCTGCGCACTGAATGGAGACCGTTAACTTTTCTCTAAATCTACTCGACGCAATGAATATGTTACCAGGGCGGTATCACTAGTCCACATAAGTCTTTCGGAGCAATAGTAACGTTATATCGCTCGGCAGAAGTAAAGGTCAGGTTTTGGTCACTGTCGTTTCGAGTGCTGGACATCCCGGTTACCTACTGCCGTTGCAATACACCTACACCAGGCTGGTGCAACAGACTGACTGGATTTGACCGATTTAGCCCGTATGTATGATCATTATTAATCACACAATATGCAGATTGCAGAGGTAGCAATCAGAGCCTAGTGGAAAGGAGAGAGTGTACTACAAATACTCAACTAGACATTTGCATGGCCATGAAATATCAATAATATCAGCACCTAAATGCTGAATTCCCGCTTTCAAATAGCATCCATATCTGACCATAAGCGAATAGATCATTGACATTACTTAATATTTCAATTGACTTGCATCTTTTGAGCACCTAGTCCGAACCGCATTCCCGAGAGTAGCTCGGACCTCTGCAGGCCTGTGCCTGGGCGAGCTGTGCCGGTCGATAGGAACACGTGCCGTCAGGGACTCAGGGGACGCCTCGCCCACGGGGACTGCTGCAAAAGCCACCACATCACGAGTTGAGTTTTGTGGAGTGTGAAACTGACTACATGCATCCTTCATGGTAAGTTTGGAATAGGCGCTGTTCGGTGAGCTAAGCTTAGAGAAAGACAGCTTGGATTTCAAGACTGTTCTTAGTTCCTACAATAGTTTGTCTCCGTGGCTATATAGGTTAGGTTAGGTTAGGTTCCTCGCTGCTACATCCCATCCTATGACGCAAGCAAGACTTATGCCTATTCCGCTCACAAATCACATTGCATTCTGCAAATACTTTGGTAGTTGCAGTTGGGCAGGTTGCCCATAAAATATTTAAACTTTGCAACTAAAATATTGAATTAAAAAAAAGCCGTTAGCTATTATCATTGGCTTGATGGGGCGAATTGGCAGGACTTTAGTTAAGTACGTGGAACGCCAGAAACATGTCTGTTACAGAAGTCCTTGCATTTAAAACCGCTTTCATCTGGTTTCGGTATAATCCTCAAACCGACTGTCCAGGCGGACTCCGTGATCCTCAGCCCCGTCAGCCCATCCCCGGACAGTTTTTATACCGCGGCATTTCCCCGCGCGGCTCCACAAAGAGAGCTCGGTCAGAGGTCTACCTGCGCACGTGCCTCAGTCTGACGTCTCCCTCCGGGCACAACAGAGGGCAGGAGCGTAGGGGGAGGGTGATCCCCCTGAACTGTTTGTAAGTACAACTCTCCGAGACGACAGCATCATAGCTCAGACGACCACCCTCACACAGCCACCGTCCAAGTCGACGGCAGTAAAACTTCAAAGCAGTGAGCGTGTCCGGAAAATAAAATAAACCAACACAACGGAATTTATTCCCGGCAGGATAATAGTTTACGAGCTCAACCACAGTTAGAATAAAAGACAAATGAGAGAAGAAAGTTCCAAAATGAAGACTATTACAACACGACTTGTTTGAGATTACAAAGCAGCTACACGTAAAATAAATGTGTTATTCATGCGGTGAGTGGACAATTTTGATTTGAATACTTTGTTCAGTATTTAGGAACCAATTCTTCGACACCAGTAATGCGTATATTGATTCGGTAGCTTTCGGAAGCTTCTGCTCCCTTCGTCAGCCGTGCTTTAAAATGCATTGAAATACAAGACAATACGTCTCAAACGTCTCAAACACCTACCAAAATACATACCACCACGAGGAAAAGTTGTAGCCGTACGTCTAAAGCACAGATGCACAAAATAATCATACGAATACACCATAACTGAGCGTGAGCACACATTACATGAAAGAAACCAATATTTGAAAGTTACCTCACACTGACTTCTCTTTTGACCAACATTCCATAACACATATTAATGAACTAAGACGTAATCGTCCGTAACATTCGTGCCAAACTTTCGGCAGTCATCGTAAGTTCATGATCGTAACAACCGAGATCGAGACAATTAATCGGAGGTAGTCGTAAGTTCGTAATCGTTTTACAATCGCAGACGCACAAGCTCGCATATTCGCTCTAATAATCACATACAACAATAAGTGACGATGAGGTCAGTGTGCTACGTAAAGGGCTCAATTTTGTACCGACGCCGACAAGCGTTCCAGTCGCGGATTTTGTTTCGGCGGTCGAAAGTGTGTGCCGTTCAGACGATGTAACACCGGATGTAGCGAATAGGCTTAGATTCGAGGTCACCAAAGCTCTCAATTCCTTCCGTCCCCCGCAAAGCAAAAATCTCAGTAAGGGGGAGTGGAAAGCGTTACGTGACCTACAAGATAGGCAAGATATTATGATTTTACCTGCAGATAAGGGTAGATCTGTATGTGTGATGACCTGTGAGCAGTATCAAAGTAGGTTAGAAACACTAATAGGGGATCACGACACGTACACTGAACTGGATAGGGACCCAACCGGTAGGTACACACGAGAGGTAAGGGGGGCGCTAAAGGACTTAGAACAACAGGGCAAATTGGACAGAAAAACGTATCTAAAACTGTACCCGTCGGACCCGACTCCGCCATTGCTTTATGGGCTA